TAAAACAAAGGATTATAACAGAAGGCTGAAAATAGGGGTATCAAGGAAAGTAGCAAGCAGTCTGCTTCCCTTCTACTACTCCTAGACTATCGATAGGTAAACATTGTAGGCGCTGCATAACCAACACACAACTTCCCACACTTCGCATGCCTCCCTGAGTTGCTTATCATTTATTAAAATAGTCTCTTCCATTCCTAACCGGTCCAGTTTAGCCGACCCTATTTTTATGTCTCAACCTTAATGCGCTGACTAATGCAGTCTTCTCTGATCGGTCCCCTGCTCCCTGACTTCGGTCCCAAGAGTGCAAAGTTACCGGACCTTGTGCGGAAGGTGAATGCCCTGTCTTCATTACCCCGCGAGCCGGGTTGACTTTCCATCCCTTATCCCTAGAACTTTTTATATCTCGACACTTGCATCGCTATATCGCGCGCTTTGTTTTCATTCCTTCTGCAGTCAGGCAACCAACTCCAAGTGCCGGGCACTAAGCTGATGGCCCCTGAACAATCTGCTACACTTGGAATGCTTCCAGGCTATCGATTTGCAAACGGTCTATAAACTGCGGACTCATTGGCATGATTCTATCACCCCGACAGCGTGCTGAACATTTCACCTAGGTTGACATAGCCTCTTACCCTTCTTAGCTATCCATTTCTGCCAATCCTCTCTATTTTCTTCCTGTCGTAACTTTACATTACAATCTCAATGCACCGACGAATAACATCTCATCTGACTGGTCTCCCACCCTTTGAGAGCCATGCCTGACTAAGCTAACCGTGCAGAATATAGCCACTTTGCTATTTAACCTGCGTAGTTCCGATGACCCACATTTGTTTTCAGTGTGCCCACTAACCTAGTCTTATCCGAACGGTCTAGTGCCCTACTTCTCCCAGACCACTGTTCCATTGAAATAAATAAATAAGCATTTACTCCCGCCAAGGCGAAACACGCGTGTTGGGTATGAGCAGCATGGTATAATATAGTACATGGTAACATGATTAAGGGAACGAAGAGCGAGAGTAGTAAAGATGTAATCAGTCGTGCGGACCCACATGGCCAAAGACTGTATGAAGCCTAGCCTCACAGAATTCGAGATGTAGAGATAAGAATTAGCTCATGAATGTGGGGTATGTTGGTGAGTAACTAATTCGATGAGGTTGTGTACACTGTTCGAGTCAGTTGAGTGAAGTGCAAGGAAAAGGCCGAAAAATTATTTTAGGAATAGTGGCATGTCACGGAGCAAATATGCAGGCGTAATCGTACGAGGGTCGATATATGCACAGAATTTGCGAAAGGTGGTATCGGTCAACTTGTCAATGCTTGGCTGCGGCAGTGACTTACTTGAGTGGCGAATCCAATCCGCAACGTAGTAGTGTTGTTAAACAGACAGTGGTGACTTTCTGCAGGGAGAACGCTTGCCAGGAGACAACTCACCACGTCCTAGAACACTGCCAACCAGTGATATGACATTGGCAAGATTGCATCTGACCGATAATCCTAGCGGATATTCGCAGTCAGATTTCGCAAATATGTGTCCTAAAGTTGGCTCCTTCGGAGTCGACCGCAAGTGGTTGGAGCTGGTGAAGTCAGAGGATGCAAGTGCCTTGTATTTATTAATTAGTTTCCCGGGTTCCTTTAGTGTATAAAGATTGCGAATGCCGGATGGCTTCATTGTTCAGTGTTGCCTCCGTGGCCAGGTAAGCGTCGCAGGTATGTCCAATCTCTTCCACTTACGTCGAGATCCTGTTGGTAGTATTTTCCATTCACTAAATAGGCTTCTACATCCGGAACCTAGGGTTCCCAGTTATTGCACCGTTTTTCTGCCTACACTATTGTACGCATTACTCTCATTGCACCGCACTAACCTATGCACGTGTGTATAGTTAGCACCGCTCCGACAACGCTCCTCCTTTCTGGCGGCACCAGCATGATTTCTAAGCCTTTCTTGGCTATCACCTCTATTATAATGCTCACCTTACCTCGCTTCATGTTCTTCTGCACTTTACCTCAGGTTCGCATTTGCTTTCCATCCTGAATGTTGCTGCATGAGCTTACTGCATCCCTTATCATTCTAAACGTACCTGGGCTAAAGGCTCAATACATGGCGGTTATTGTCCTTCGTGACACATTTTCTCTAAATGCTGGCGTACTTCAGACTATGGGCTTATGAGCACGTCAGCGTCATTATGCTCACTAAATCTTTATCGCAATTCTGCCCGCATGCATCCGCTCCCCAACGATTCACTGCTTCTCTGTTTCTCTTGGAACGTTGTCTAACAAAGTGGTTGCTCCCCGCCGTACGTCTAAATCTAGGTGGCCCTAGTTTCACCTCTCGCATTCAGTCGGCTGTCAGCATCCTCAATCTATATACGTTACTTTCGAACAACAGTATTATTCGCCCACACGCTTTGTTAAATCGGAATTTTGACCTTGCGGGTGCAGAACCTTCTTGATACCTAGTAGTTACCGTCTGGACCACACCAGAGACGTGATGTAAAGAACCTACCTGCAAATAATGTATACTAAATAAACTTACATATGATTCAGAGTATCACATAACTAGGCACCGTTGCATGCCATCAGTCTTTCAATAGGGCTTCTTGATAAAATGCAGTCTGTCTGCTTGGCTGCCTCTTGTTTTTTGCGCGTAAGTTCCTGATATTACTAAAGATAAATTGGCCGA